GAGTTGGCTTCTCAATGTTTACACAAGGCAAACAGCATTTTTTGCACAAATATGAGCACTTAATCCTCAATATGCATGAGTCACAAGATGAAAAATACTACTCTCATATTTAAGGTGCTATCAACATCTGTATATGGGCTTTGCTGTAAGAATAAAATTATTTTTAAAATTAAGAAAAGCTTCACATTAAAAAACTAACACTCAGAGATTGTTGTATCGCTGATGCAGAATGTAATTCATTTCATAATGCAGAGTATTGTGCCCTACACGATGGCATTTAGTAGAAGAATCAGTATAAATATGCACAAAATGCACATCTTCCTGAGTTTTACACGGTTATTTTTGAATTAAAATCTGGTTACACACAGGCATATTTTAAACCGTCTTCCACAGGAAAAAAGATCTCACATATACTCAACACAAAATACTACAGAAGGCAATAACATTCTTCCAATTTAAAGAGAATGGAAGAAATTAAAAGTTTCTAACTTGAGAAAGTAGCCATAATAAACACTAAGAAATTATATGTGAAACTGAATTCATAATTTTAGGAGCAGAACAAAATTCACATACCTCCTCATAGAAGGGTCTACCTTAATTTTGGTAAACTTCACTATGCAAATGGCAATAGCAACATACCCTGTGGGACAGAGCCCAATAGCTTGCAAAACATTCATCTGATAACACAGATTTGGCTCTTAATCTTTAGGCACAAGACCCGGGAAAAATGCGTATCTCAACAGTGACCCCTAGTGACGAGTCTTAAAATGGCTGTCTCAAAAGAAATTCTTTAAGAATGAGAACAAGCAGAAAAACATTGACAAAACTAACACTCCCCAAACACCCTGACAATCGAGGACCAGATTAGGAGATGACTGAAAAAGACAGCTAACTCTGGCTTACAAGGAAGGGTAATCACAGAGAGAGGGGATGGAGGAGGAGGGCAGGGACACAGGAAGACAGCCTTTAGAACAGTTGCTACGTTCCCATCTTTGGAAACACCGAGAGCAAGCAAGCCCTTGCGTGTATCATCTCAGTCAGCTCAGACTTAGAACAACTCATCACCCACCAACCCATTAATCAACCGTATTAACCAAGAGTCCATCTCAGTTCAGCGTGCTTTTGGCACGTTGGGACGGGATACAAAATAGCATCAGACAGGGTTCCCGACCTCAGGAAACACACAGCCAGGCACCGCTTAATGACGTTCCAGTCAACGACAACCCCGCACACGATGATGGTCCCACGAGATTAGAACCACTAGCCTAACTGTGTAGTAGGCTTTATCACGTGGGTTTGTGTAAGTGCACTCTGTGATGTTCACACAACGACTAGATCGCTTAACGACACATTCCTCAGAAAGTGTCGCATGACTGTAATACAATTAATTATATGAAGAAATTAGTAAATAATTTGCGACCTTTAACATACAAAACTAACTTTAAGCGAAAGAGTAAGAGACCCAGAAGCTGTGACGCCTACAATTGTAAAAGGAGGCTTGACAGAGAAGTGGAACTCGGCTGAGCCCAGGAGGGCTGTGAGGTGGAGGAAGTATCCACGCTGGTCATACCACCTTTCCTACCTGCCTGAGGAGTGCAATGCCACGACATCATTCCTTAACTATGAAAGGCCCTGACGACTATAAAGGTGAGAGGGACATCAATTTGCAGAACACAAAAATAAAGTTTCTTTAGAGCGCCCGCAGTCCACCACGTTTGAAATGAGCCCATAACAAGTAAGAAACAAGGAGAGGATGTGGCGGGGGCAAGGGCAAAGAGGCCAGTGCAGAGCAGAAGGGAGGGGGCAAGGCAGCACAGGCGCTGTGGCAGGGCTGGGCCTGGGGAGAGAAGGTTCATCCACCTTCCTACCGCAGCATGCAGGGAGAAGAGGCTGGCTGGAGAATGCGGCCAGATCAGGGCAGGTTCTGAAAGGCAGGCAAAGAACGCGCCTTCCGCCAGATGTGTGGCATCACAGGGAAACTGGTGTTTCCAAAAGGAGAGTCTGGCAACAGAACCTCAGCTTTACTCTGAAACCAGTCCGTTGGGCCAGAAAGAACCTCTGTTGGGTTCCCAGATAGCACCTGCCCAGTCACACAAAAAGGCAGAGGAAAAGATTCACCTGCTACTCTGCCTCTCGTCTCCTTAAACACGTCAGGGCCACGTGTACATCTAGGGAAGCTGATGCAGGCAGAGCGATTCCCCACTGACTCCACGAAAACCCATCAGCACTGCCCCAATCCCCCAGGTTCAAACTTACATAGTGTCCTTGCAGTAATGAGGCAGCCAGCCCTGGTGGACTAGAGGTTAAGATTTGGTGCTCTCACCGCCGCAGCCTGGGTTTGTTTTCCGGTCAGGGCTCCACACCTCCTGTCTCGTTGTCATACTGTGGCGGCCGCATGTTGCTGTGACGCTGAAAGCTCTGCCACTAGTATTTCAAATACCAGTAGGGTCCCCCATGGTGGACAGGTTTCAGCAGAGCTTCCAGACTAGACAGACTAGGAAGAAGGACCTGGCCACCCACTTCCAAAAGAATTGGCCATGAAAACAGGAGTGGAGCACTGGCTGATACAGTGCCAGAAGGTGAGGGGATGGAGTAAAAAGACCAGGCAGGGTTCCACTCTGCGGTCCACAGGGTCGCTGGGAGGCGGAATCCACTCCACAGCACCAACGACAACAATGATGAGCCTCTAACAGCGATGAGCTTGACGATTTTGAAATCTCTTTCATGAACTCTAATATAGAAAACTTCAAGAATTTCTGCTCACAAAATCTTGGGGGAATTTAAGGATCATCAGTGACTTTCAGCTTCCTCATGGCCTCACTTGTCCTGCAGAGTGGACCTGTTGATGTCAAAGCCACCAGCAGGGAAAGGAAGTCACCTCAGTGCCACAGTGAGACTCTGATGAGGTTCTGATGACCCCAAAGATACTGAGTCGAGTGCATGGAGCCAAAGAGTGTCCCCAAATCAGGTGCCAGTATGAGTGAGCCAGTCATTCCTTCCATTGTACGCAGTGGAAATGTCAGAGGGCAGTGTAATTGGCATACTAAGAGAAAGACACAAATAGTTCTCCAAGATCAAAGCAGTGCTGAGGGGTTTATCTTTTGAGTCCCAGTGGTTTTAATGTAGCTTTGTCAGGCAGTTCCTATTAAACACCACGGCAAGTGAAAGACACTGATTACAATAAAAAGTGACAGGAGGGTGTGCTCAGCCACTTACATTTAATGCATATTTATATTTCCATCAAATGGACATATTTACTATAAATACTTGAAAAACCATAGCAAAGTCATTCATTTAAATGCCAGAAAAATAGTAAAAGATGCTAATTTGACCTTAGTGGAACAGATCGGGTGTCACTGACACTACTCACAATGGCCTGAAACAGAATTTACCAAGACGATTAATTAGAGTTTACTGGATTAGGTCAAGACTGTCTCAAATGGAAAGAAAAAAAAAAAACCAGGGAGGGAAGAAATAGGAAGTTTGGATCCATTCACAGCCAATCTCTTCAAAAGCAGATACAATTTAACTCCGTATTTATGCCTTTCTAAGTTGATCCCATATTATTTGCCTGGAGAAAGAAACTGATCCACCGGTTTCTGACATTTCTACCTTCGTGGACATATAAAAAGAAATAAACTACAACTATCTGAAGGATTTTTTAAAGAACAGAGCAATTAATGATATAAAAGGAATAAGAATGGTTTGCCTTTTTGTACAAATGTACACTGTTTTCACTTTAATAATGATGTAGATCTAGCAATGGTGAGCTTGGCAATTAAGACATGCTTTTATAAACTACATGATGGGGAGCTTCAGAAATTCCGGGATCGTCCAGTTCACTCTTCAAAACGACCTCAAACCCACTCTGGGCTGGGGTTAGGGACTCAGTGGACAGGAGGACCATTTGCTACAAAAGCCACAAGTGTAGCAGCATATTACCTGTTACAAAAATGCCCAAATGTGACTGGTAGCCCATGCTTTCAGCATGTGGGGCCACCACTCCTCAAATATGACAATCAAGCCATTCTGCCTTTGCCTTGCAAACATGCGCTTTTTGCTAAAAACGAACTAATCTGCCTGTCTCCTGCACATGAGGGGCCCTAACTGCCACTCTTAATTCTCAATAATCAACAGCTCGGTGACATTGCTTCGAGCTGTATATAATGCACACACACAGACATAAATTCATGACACAAATCCCTCAACGTGACATTCTGCTCAATTTCACCAGACTCAGAGAGCTCCCTAACAAATTCTTGCCACATGATTAGAAAATCATTCAAGTCTGCAGGAAATATGGCAAGCACAAAGAAGTGACAGTCAATTAGGAAGGAGAAAGGAGAGTGGGGTCCCTGTCATTAAAATCTTTAAAGCCAAAGCCCTAAGAATAAAATGGCCCATATCATTCACACAAGATATTCTTATAAAATCCATTATTAATTCTACCGTATCGTTAACTATACCATGGCACTACCAACGCCCCAGAGAATTTTTCTTGGAGACCAGACTCAAAAACTTGAAAAATACAGATGCAAATATATATAATTTATACAACTTTGCGAGTTTTTTCCCCTATCAACCATGGAAGAAAAGCGTACAACAGTTAAGTACTCCCCTTTTGAGGGGGAAGTATAGATGAAAGCCAAGAATTCTTATTCTACTATTTTTTGATAAGTTTTTTTTTTTCGTGAAATACTAATGATTGGCCCAGCAGTTCAGGTCACTTGCAAAATGCACCGTCCCTGAATGGGGCCATTTCCAGAGAAACGACGTCATTCTCTTTCTTCAATTCACACACGATAGGAAAAAATCCTCAGAGCAAAGCACAAAATATTGAAGACAACGTGCTCCTATATCTTAATGTCACCAAAATAAATTTTAGGTTCCCCCAAATAATCATTTGTCATTACTATCTTTAAAGGAAACAAGAGAATCAGCAGCATCACTATATCAACTAAAAGGTGGAAACTGTGTAACGAATGATGAAGGTAACTCACTTGTTAGCTTGTTGTGGCTGAGGACCAGTTGTGTGATGTGAGACAGGGAGACTGCAAAAGAAGAAAAAAAGAAAAATCACACAGTCAGTAAATGTACCCAAATCACACCTACACTCCTACAAGACAAAGTGCTAAATTCTTTTCGCAGGTGGAAGTGCTACCACTCCCCAAAATAGAAGCAAGGATTCATAGAACACTGTCTGTTAAATGTTAAACCAAATAAGAAAAGTCATGCAATTAACAGTGCAATTAGCAAAGCAATTTAGAGCTAATGAGATTAATGTCACAGATCAAACATCAAAGGGCCAGCTAGCTCTGCTCAGAGACCTGGTCTGCTGGCCCAGCCTTAGTGACCCATGTCAATAACACGCGCCGGTCAGAAGAACCAGCCAAGAGTGTGGAGGGACACAAAGCCCTGACCTGTGCAAAAACCCATCCCATCAAAACAGAAAGAGCACATGACAGAAGGCTGGCAGCACACGACCGCATCTACGTCCACTGTCGACCCAGAAATTCTTCTACACACTATCACATGATCAGAATTTTAAAAACCCAATTTTCCTCTAAAAATATTTTGGTTGACATTTCAAAGCACGTGCAGATTGCTTGCCAGTTTCAAACATTAGCATGAAGGTTTAATCTGCTGAACAAGATGAGCTTTGCTTAAAAGATGGTTTTTCCAACTCTAAAGGAGGAAAATAGTCACAGGTACACACGTACACACACACACACACACACAGAAAAACCCCTGAGAAAAAAGTGACCTGCCTTGCGTTTTGGATTCTAAAACTTCACTGTATGATCAGTATGATATATATACACACAACAATATATGTTTTATGTATATAATTATAATTTATATGTTAGTTAAGAAACAGATTCAGACATTTTTCCAATATTCTTTCTATGAGAATATTACATTAATGTAATAGAGCTTTTTCCTGAAGGGGATAAGATGATAAAAAGTTTCTCAAGAAGGGTCTCAGTGTTGGACCCCAGCATGCTTAGAAGAAAATGAGACTGTATCAATCTTGACCACAACTTTTGAGTATTTTTCTTTTTATTAATCATCACAAAGTTATAGAAAAGCTCAAAATACAGTATAAAGACCTGTTCTCCTGCCCTGAACCATTTTAGATTAAGCTGCTGGTCTCATGCCCCATAAACTTAGGATATTCCTACCAAAAATTATGGCATTCTCTTACATAGCCACAATTCAGCCATCACAACCAAAAACTTAACACAATACCTCACTACCATCGAATCCTCAGCCCTCATCCAAGTTTTGCCAAACGCTCCTACTATTTCTTTAAAAAAAGGATCCAGTTCAGAATCCACATTGCATGTAGCTACCAGGTCTCTCTAAGTCACCTCCAGTCTAAGTTTCTCTTTCTTTGACTTTCGTGACCTTGGCAATGATGAAACTTGCAGACCAGATTATTTTGTTTACGTCTTCCTTGTGGATTTGGCATTTGTTTATTCTTGACTAGCTTTAGGTTGAGCATCTTGGGCAGGAATATCAAAGAAATGCTGTTCTTCTCACTGCATCCTATGAGGTGGCACACGATTTCCATTTGGCCTGTCACTCATCATCTTCCCTTGACCACTTCTGTGTGCCCGGCTTCTCCACTGTCAATTTATTCTTTATCTCTTTAATTAGTATTTGGTGGGGGGGATAGTGGGGATGAGGAGGGAGAACACTTTGAAACTATATAAACATCCTGCTTCTCACCGCACCTTCAATTTATTCGTGTGTTTTGTGGTCCTCAACCAGGGCAATTTTGACCCTCATGGGACATTTGGCAACGTCCAGAGACATTTTTGGTTATAACAACTGTGAGCACTGGAAAATCTAAACTTTCCTATGTGGCTTGCATTATACTTCTTTTGGACAGGACTGGTCTAAAGTAGTGACATCCCGTAGGAGGGACCAGGGATGCTGCTAACCACCCCACAATGCACAAGGCAGCCCACCCACAACATCCCGTCTGAAAGGGCAATCGTGTTGCTGCTGAGAAACCAAGATGTATTTATTTATACTTGCGTAGCTTTGTGGATTCCTATTTTAGTCAATGGGTTATAAACAATCATTATTATTTATGTTGATGTTCACACTGCCCCTGATTTGGCTGGGGGAGCCCATCGAAGCTGGCTACTAAGTCCTTTTGACACATCCCCATGGTTTTTTGAGCAATTCCTTACTTTCTGGCACAAGATATTCGAGTTCGTCCTGTACTTCTGCCACTGCCCTGGAATCAGCCATTTCTCCAATGACTTCTGATTCCCTTTTGCAGAAAATGGTATTTATAAGCTAAAATCTGGGCACTAGATATCTCGGGGTCAGTATCCTCAGTCCCTCTCAGTGGCCAGAGCTAGAGAATAAACACACACACATCCCTATATTGATTTCACTCTGTACATTACTGAAAACCATGAGTCCACACCAACATATCCAATTCCAATACACTGCCACACGGTTCATGCCTGTTTCCTGCCTTTCCATATCTGTAACTCCCTTCTCTAACAGCAAGAACTCTGGCTTCCTTTATCTTCAACCTACTTACTTACGTAATCAATACTTCTATATATAACTGCATAAAACACAGCTCTCTTACAGCTAGACTGGGACAGCTCCATGCACAGCTTCAGGGACCCCCGGAAGCCTGGTACTGATTCTCGGTCAAGATGAGCACGAGCACCCTAGCCAGAGACGTGTAATACTCAGTTTAAAGCTGAGAACGACCTGGAGCACCCACGGCCAGCTTGTTCACATTTGGAGATGTGTAGATTGACGGCTTACATCTGACTACAGGGTGTATGACCAGTCAGGCATAAAACACACTGCTGAGCATTTCTGTCCAGCCTCTCCGGAACCCCAGATTCCTCACATGTGTCTTGATGGCTCATCTCTGGAAACGAAGTATGTCCTGAGCAATGAAGAAATGACACCTGGGGGTCACCAGTGAGCCTCTCGGGCCCCTGATACTGGCTGTGCTTTCTTGCTCTTCCTAAACCATGCCCTGTGCCTATTAAATCCTAACACGAGGAGGCTCTGTGGAATCTTCTGAGTCCTTCCATCAGGGTGAACTGATGCAGTATGGTGAACGATGCAGGAACCAACCTCCCCACACGCCCTCCTCCTACCTGGACACCCGCCCTCTCGGCTCAGACTCACCCTCCCCTCCTCGCCTGCGCCCTCCACAGCGACGCCCTCCTCACCCTCGGACCTCCCAAGCCAGGCTCCCCCACCCCGCACAGATGCCCAACTCACCCCACTCAGGTTCCCACACCCTACTCTAGGCCACTACGCAACCCCCAAACCCTGAGCACCTCTTTCTGTCCCACTTGCTGGCTTTGGACTGAACTACTGGGGAAGGGGGAATGAGAAAGACAAATGGAAAGAGAGCACTTTTGTGGTTTTTAAAACAACCACAAAGGCAGCGTCTCACAGGATGTTTAAGATTTTAGATATTACAGAACATCTCAGACTTTTTATTTCTAAGAGTTAAGATTTCTTGTCCACCAAATAAAGCATTCCTCTACCTCTCAGGTGTACAGTCTGATATAGGGAAAAAACACCCTCAAAGAGTTGCCCTCGTACCAAAGCAAATGAAACAGATTCATAGCTGTATGAATTAAGAGTAAGGTCAGCTTCATGTGAGAGCAAACCACAAATAACAACAGTTACACAAAACAGGAGTTTCTCTCTCACTTACACACAGGCAGTCCAAAGGTTCCTGATATCTTGTTGCCCAACCATCCACACTGCATGGATCCTACCTCATGGTCCAAGATGGCTGCCTGAGCTTAGTCACCATGCCTGCATTCCCCTCAGGAAGATGCAAAGGAAAAAGAAGTCTTCCTCCTTTAGAATGCTTCTAAGAAGTGGCACGTGGCACTTCCACTTGCAAGCAATTAATCAAAACTTTGTAGCACAGAGACGTCTAGCTGCAAGGGAGGCAGGGAAATGCAGTTTGTGTTCCAGGTGACCATGTGCCAGCTAGAAATTCAGGTTTTATTACGGAGAAAGATGACGCAAACACAAACTGGCAGACTACGAGTAGCCTCTCACACTAGCAGACCAGTCCATCTGTCACAGAAGGTCATTCTGATTACAGAAGAAAACTGACAATCCTATCGCCCCCTGCCTTAATTTTTCCTAAAATATCACAGCTAATTAGAAAAACAAAAACTTTTGCTCTTCTCCCATCTAACGTTCACAATGAAAGATTTAATCAGAGAAAGCTAGTTCTTTTCAATCACTTCACGTTGTGCCCTTTCAACAAGCATTTAGAAGGAGAGAAAGTGACGAAGTTTGAAAGTTTTTTTTTTTTAATAGAGAAGAGAAATTCAGAATTGCTGCTTCACCCGTTCACAGCACTAGAATGTATTTTCCTTTCTCACTATTGTTACAGGGCTGCATGCTAACAATAGGTAAGAGGAGAAAAATTAGAGTAAAAAAGAAAAAGTTCATAGAAGATCTTTGAAGGAATATTTAGGGCAATAAAGGACTGAAGGCCGGGTCTCCGGGGAGGGCAATTAGGCTGGGCAGGATCAAAATCACAGAATGAATCAAAGCCTGGTACAGGCAAAGACCAAGGAGTGACAGATGCATTTATCCGACCCGCCACTCCCTTCCACTCGGCAATGGTGAGTTCATTGTGAGTCTTGTATGGAAACTGTGCTGCTAAGAAAGGGGAGAAAAGGTCTACCAAAATAGAATGGATTATTTAAAAATACAAAAGCCCCCCTAGTCAAACATGTTGGGAAAATTGAGCAGGCTGTCCCCCTCCTGACCTGCCCTGCGGCCTTAATCACACGCTGGGAGAGCCTCCACCGTGTGAATAACATGCTCTGATGGTCCAGCCCACCATAATTGTCGAGAATGAGCAGCGCCACAACCGTGAGAGCACACTTATATTAAAATTCCTACAGCAATATTAAACTATGCTTTACCCAGGCATTTTCAAAGCAGAATCTATTTCAAAAGTCAGTTAAACAGCTAAGAAGTGTGTTGACACACACGGTCAAATGTTATGGTGCCTTGGCTA